AAGAAAACAAGCTGCTATTGAAAGTTTAAAAACTTTTGATAGTGTTATATCATTTACCTCTGATTTATGGACATGTGTTAATAAAACTCTAAACTTTTAATAAGAGTATTTCTACAATAAGAAGTATACCAAGTAAAGTATATCGACTCTATCATCGTAAGCGACATTTTTGCTACAGCCACGTATGCGACCACTCATTCACGAAATCTTTCACGTGATTATATAAAGGTGAAAAGAGTAGGACCAGAATCGCTAAACATTAGTTCGGTCTGTTTTTGGTCAACATCGACTTGTTTCGCTTTGCATGTTCTTAATATGTATCTATTCAAATGTGTTGTGCTTGAATCAGGCTTCCAACTAAATTTTTTGCCACAGTAATTACAACATATTTTTCAAATATAAACTCTATTTTGAACACCAATTTTTTTACGTGTCATATTTTGCCAACAAATTGAGAATTATTTTTTCGACCTTCTAATCTCACTATTTCTTCTTTTTCGATATCTTTCAAATCAATTGGAACATTTTGAGATGCATCATAGTCATATGGAGTACTTGAACTACTCTTAAATTGATTAATTTCATCACTGGTGAAATCCGTCTATAGCTATTATAGCAAAATATATTGAATATTAGAGTAAAGAGATTGAAATTAGAATACTGCAAAATTTTATGATACTCAACTAGATTAGAGTAAAGAAATTAGAATACTGAATATAAGAGTAAAGAATTTGGAAATTGATTGAAGTAAACTAATATGAAATTCAAATTTTTTTCGCATATTTATAGCAAAAAATGTATTCGTTTCAACTACACTTTAACTTTCAAAACCATGACCAGTATTCGTTTCATCAATGTAGGCAGCTATGATTGGTATTTTTTTTTTAAAACTCGTCACGGGTCGAAAATGGCATGTGTGGCTCAACGAGCTACATTAATATCCTTTACTACAAATCTAGGAACTTCAGTTCAATTCTTGAAAATTTTCAGATAAAAAAGGAGGTTTAGCTTAAGGATAATAAATTAAGCCCCTTTTCGACAACTACTATTTGGAAAAAACAATGATTTAAATAGTGATTTTTAGGAATATGTGGTTAAAATATAGAGAAAACTTTTGAATTTGTATATAATATTTTATTGTATAAATGTGTTGTTGAAAAAAAATATGTAGAAAAACGAGTTTTTAAATAATGGTTGTCAAAGAGGGGCTTCGAAATGGAAGTTTCATATGGCAACCAATTCAAAAATATTTTATAAATTTAGTTCAAATCAAATATTAATTTTAACTACACATTGATAGTTACTAATAATCTATATTGTATGAGAAGCTGCCATTTTTTTTAATAAATGATTTATAAGAGTGTGTTTGATGCACATTTTTTATGAGAGAATGTATTTTTTTTTTTTTTGTAATGTGATGGTGAATATGTGGTTGAAAAAGAATGAAAAGTTATTGATATGATTAAAAATATTATTTTATTAAAAAATGTGTAATTAAAAATGTGTAGAAAATTGAGAATGAAAATGAGATTGTAGCTCAGAGAGGGGCTAAATTTACCATATGTAAGCATTTGAAATTTTGTAGTGGGACCAAATGTCGTACAAAAGTTACTTTAGTGATCTTTTTATAATTCCTTCTATAAACTTAAAAGCAGAAATAGTCCATTGTTGTCCTTTCTTGAGCCAACATAAAAGCTTTTTCCATTGATGTTTAATATTAATCTAGTCGATAACATTAATAGTATTAAATTAC